AACATTTTTTGAAACAGATTCACTAGTCGGCAACATTTTTAGAAACGGATTCACAAGTCGGCAACATTTTTTGAAACAGATTCACTAGTCGGCAACATTTTTAGAAACGGATTCACAAGTCGGTAACATTTTTAGAAAATGATTCACAAGTCGGCAACATTTTTAGAAACTGATTCTTAGTCGGCAACATTTTTAGAAACGCACTCACAAGATGGCAACATTTTTAGAAACGGATTCACTAGTCGGCAACATTTTTAGAAATGGATTCACTAGTCGGCAACATTTTTAGAAACTGATTCTCAAGTCGGCAACATTTTTAGAAACTGATTCACTAGTCGGCAACATATTTAGAAACAGATTCACAAGTTGGCAACATTTTGTGACGGTTTCTAAAGGTCAGACAATATTTGACACGGTTTTACATCGTCTCGACATTTCATAGGGAAGTGTAAAGTATTGAAAATGCCATTTGTAAATTAACAAAGTGAATAGAAACTTTAATTCTGATTATTATTTTCCTACCTTAAAAAAAAGACATAATCACTTTCTTCCTGAGTTCCGTACCCTTTTGTTTAAGAATTTGTCACTGGAATTATAAACTGGCAGAAGAAAATTAGTCTGCGAACAAACCCACTTCTCTCTCGTTTCTTGTTTCCAGGTCAGAAATCACAAAATGGTTCAGTTTTGGTATATGCCTCTGATGACGGAAACCCTTTATTAAATTCACTTATAAGATAAATTCAAAAGGATAAATAGTAAGAAATACGACCTGCAAATTGTACTGACTCGGCAGATATAAATACTTTGAGAAAATGACCATTTCTGTGGCAAACACGATCATCGTCGATGAGAGAAAAGACAAAGTGCAAATTCGCGCATTGACTTTCCATTCAATCGGCGAGGCTGGCTGGCTGGTTGGTTGGTTGGTTGCTTGGTTGGCTTCATGACGAATCAATCCGAGAAAGACTTCGACCTTTGCTTGAAAACAGACAAAAGATAACCTCGTTTAACAGCTGCACAAAAACAGATTAAAGAGCAGACAGAATTAGGCCTAACCTAAATTTCGATACGTTTATTGTTTTTCATTAAAATTTTCTGTGTATGGCACAAGGATAAATGAGGGTTTAAAAGATGACGTTGTTCGCATATTTCAAGAAGGCAGAACTGCTGACTTGAAAGTGAATAACCAAAATGGTGAATTTTGCCTGGGTTCAATCATTCAACTTTCATACCGATGGGATTATGCTTTTTTTAGATTTTCATTGGTTCATTGCTGAAGAAAAATACTGAAAGGCTACAAAAGTTTCATCCCAGTCAGAAGAAGGGAGATGTGATGCATCAATCTAGCAAGGAAAACCCTCTTTGAAGAATATCAGTATCAATATGGCTCTTTCTTTTCTCTTTCTTCTGAAGATTGATCAATTCCTAAGACTAATCTATTCCCAAAACTGGCCAATTCCAAAGACTCGTCAATTCTCAAGACTGTCAAGTTCCAAAACCAGGGTAATTTCCATGACTCATCAAGTCCTAAGATTGTCCAAATCACAAAACTAGCCAATTTGTTACTTATCTCTTTCTCTAAAATAAAAAGTTGGGGGAAAATTGTTCAAAATGAATAAAAGCACAATTTAAAAATGAAAATATTTTAAAATGCTAAAAGATTTTCAAATTGTAAAATTTCCAAGAATTCCTTTGCACGGGAGAAGCCTCTCAAGAATTTAGTAGCATAGTAAGGGTGATTTCAATCATTGGTTTAGGTAAAAAGAACAGAACGCCAATCTTTTGAGTTTATGCTCACTATTTTTACCTTGCACCAGACTCAGTTAAATTTAATAAATATGTAAACCATTGCTATAGAATTATAATCTATGATCTTGTTTTGCCGAAGGAGTTTTTTTTTTTGTTCGTAAAGTGAGTTTCATTTTCGATCTTTTTTAACGAAGAATTTTTATCCCTGGAAGACATAACTGCCCTTGGCTCTGTTGCAAAACTGCGCAATTTTCCATTTACTATTGACACTTGAGATTCGTTCGTTTAACATTCAAAGAAAAAGACTGGGTTTTATTTCGATTCAGAAAAGAAAAATTAGAAAATAAATTAAAAATGGAAAAGTATATCGACATTTTCCCATTTTGTAAAAAAATGTATGAGAGAGTGGTATTTGATTAACGTCTACACACACACACACACCATTATATATATATATATATATATATATATATATATATATATATATATATAATAAGTAGTAAACAGATCTTAATCTAACGTTTCACTTTATTAAAGCTTCGTCAGAGATCAATATAGAAATGATAAAAAATCACAAAAAGCAAAAAGACGTAGATTAATGGTTTGTTATGTTTGTGTTAAGAGTTGGTGTCATTTAATAAAAATTATTTGCTCTGTCTCTGACATACATAGAGCTCTCCCTGGATTTATATCCTTTTGCAAATATCCATACTGATTACTAATATCATCATTATATATATATATATATATATATATATATATATATATATATATATATATATATATATAATCCACATACCCCAACTGCTCTAAAGTATATGTATATGATATATGTGCGTGTGGGCTTATGCATTGTGAATATGTGAGTATACATGTTCTGCATGTGCAAGCAAACAAACCAGGAATGAACCCAAATGTCAGAAAAACAACACACCCCACAAACTATATATTAAAAAAAGGCAAAATGGCTCCTATATATATTGTGAAAGTGTGGATATGTTTGAGTGCGCGAATGTATATGAAGGTGTACTTATATATGTATGGGTGTATATAGGTATATACAGATAACTATAATATATATATATATATATATATATATATATATATATATATATATATATAATTAAATTTAAAATATGATTCCAAATCGCGACATAAGAAGTCCCATGTTTCAAAACAAGAGCCGAAAACTTCAAAAATTTCAATAATTATTTAAATTAAATTTGATATTAAATTGTTAAAATAAACTCTGTTCCATCTTTTTTTTTTTTTTTTTTTGAATAACGTGTTTCTGAAATTTACGTGTTTAAAAATTGAAATCAAAATTTCCATGGTAACAGCTAGGGCGAATTGTTTAAATTGGGTAGGCGGGTGTTGGGTGTTAATAATAAGTATCAGTATAGAGTTACTTTCATAGATGTCAAGTCAGGGAAAGGTGGGGGTGTCTAAATTTGAAACGGAAGATGTATTAACCCTCGTCTGGTTTGCATGTCTATGGAGTTTTTTTATTTTTTTATTTTATTTTTTTATGAAAGGGATTTGTGCATATAAAAAACTGTCGTAACGTTTGTTTTTTGACGACTTCATAAAGGGTTATCTTTTTTTTAGGGTATTTAAACTATTTATTTCGGTTATGGATTATGAAGGGTGTTATATTGTATGCATGTTTTTAGTTAATTATTCAAACCATGAATCTGATGATTGGGCTATGGATTAAAACAAGTTATTATATTGTATGCTTTTTTTAGCTAATAGTTCAAACCAAAAATCTGATGATGCCTACAAAAAAACCGTTAACTCGTGTCTATTGTTTAATAGATTATTATTATTTAGAAGCTTAATTATGTGCAATTTCTCATGGAGGCATAAAGGGCATGGGTCATCCCAAGTTTTACATGTTCTAGCCTTGTTTATAATTTTCCATTTAACTTTAGGTGTCCTATTTGTTTCCTTCATATGCCAAAAATATTTAGATAGGGAAGTCTGATTTCTTTTGTTTATATTATTGAAAGAACACTTATGCTGCCTCCATCTATCTTTAAAATCATTCTTCGTGGACCTAATGTATATCTTATTAGTGCTTGGGCTCTCAGTGGGTGATATAGTACATTGGTATACCACAGATTTAATGCAGCATTTATTTTCTAATGGGCAGTCTTCTAGGTTTCTACAGTTACATAATTTTTCCCTTTTATTGTCTGATTTAAGTGCAGGGTTTTTATTAATACTGTTTAGGCATGAGGTTTTGTTCAAGATCTTATTATTGTGTTTTTTTTTATACGTTCAAGATTTTCAGAGCAGCTGTAACTCAATTTTCAGGTGTTCTTATTGAATATATTACATGAAGTTTACTATTGGTGGGGAAGTGTTTATCAATTAGGTTTAAGAATTTTTGTCCTAGTTTAATATTAACCATTTGGTTGAACGGAGGGGTGTACCAAATGATTTTTTCTTTTCATGTTTTTTTTTCTTATATCTGAGTTAAAATTGTCTATATAGTTAATGTTAGCATTTTTATAACCACTATTTTTTATATAAAAGTGTTATAGAAGCCATTGTGTTGTTGGAATATTTCCTTTTTAGCGGAGTTAATATATAATTCTATTTTCTATTGATGAGGGTATATGTTTAATTATGGATGGAGGGTGGTTTGACTTCGAATTGTATATAAAAAGTTTAGCATTAGGTTTACTATAAGGTTGGTATGTGTTTTTGTAGGTAAGTCTAGAGTTACGTCGAGGAAGTTTACCCTTTTTAAATTAGAAAGACAATTATCTTTAAGTTTAGTTTTTAAATTTTTTAAATTTTATATGTATATATATATATATATATATATATATATATATATATATAACATATATATATATATATATATATATATATATATATATATATATATATATTTAATATATATATTTTAAAAGCATCTATGATGTATACATACATATACGTGTATGTTGGGTTATTGTTGAACAGGTATTTATCGATGGGCATGTATATGCATACATGTATATGAAAAAAAAAAGGTCCTCCAACACTTATGTATGCCTGGATGGATATATATGTGGTCATATCTATGTAAGAATGTATGTAGAAGTGTATGTGGGTCTATATATATGTATAACAAACAAATATAGATGAAACATGTACAGAGACATAGAGAGTCTGTCTTAAAATGTCAAAAGCAGAACAGATGAGAAAAGCCAATGCATTTAATGAGATTTACGACGACCAACTTTTTATCCTGTGAGATGCCAACCCCCCCCCCCTTCTCTTCCAACAACCTACAGAGTTTTGTCTTTCTTCTTTTAGTTGAACTGATGAAGCCAAAGAGAATGTAAGATAAGATTTTCTCCGGTGAAACGTGTCTTTGATTAAACATTTTGCCATTTTCTCTTATCATCTTCATATTTGTTTCCAATATTTTTATATCTTATAAAACACATACTATACATTATCTACTATATTTATATTTATATATATATATATATATATATATATATATATATATATATATATATATGTGTGTGTGTGTGTGTGTGTGTGTGTGTGTTTAAAAAAGAAAGAACAGTAAGATATATAATCCGGTAGATAAAATTTTTTTAAAAATTTAAAATTGAGGATGAAATGGAACTAATATCTTTAATTTAATTACAAAATTAAATCCGTAGCTTTTAGCTTCCATTTTTGAAACATGTTTAGAACTGTGTAGCGAAAAAAACATATTTTAAATCAATTTATAAATATATATATATATATATATATATATATATATATATATATATATATATATTGTAATTATACAATATGGTAATCCGTATGGAATTTCCACGAGTTTATAGATCCAGGGACAGAGTAAAATTAATATTAATTAAAGAATATCAAACACTAAAAATAACATTGTAATTTTTATTGCATGCGAACTCTAAAAAGCAGATATACACACACACGCACACACGCACACATATAGTACAAAATACAAAAATTTATTTACATTTAGAGGGAAAGGGAGGTCAATATAGTAGATAAAGTGTGTAGATAGGAATAAATACTGCATGGTGGCAGTCAGCTTCAAGTTTCAATACGGTCTTCAGATGAAACTGACAATCAACGTTTATGTCAACATTATATATATAATGGGAGGTATATATATATATATATATATATATATATATATATATATATATATATATTTATGTATGTATGTTTGTGTGTGTGTGTGTGTGTGTGTGTGTTATATGTAACAAAGATAACGATACAAAGGGGCAAAACTATAAAGGGTGCTTTTCGCTGAAAGCATTTGCTGCCTTCGGCTTCTTTAAGTTACAAAGTGAAGTGAGAAGAGGACCCCCTTCGGCGAAACGCGTCGTTAATAAATTGTTCTACTTTGTGTCATCATCATCATCATCATCATCACTTTTGTTTCGAATATTATTATACATCCTATAAACACACACACACTTACATAGAGAAAGAAAGATAAAGAGAGAGGGAAAGAGAGTGTGAAAGAGAGAGGGGAAGAGAGTGGGGTGAATTGCATCTATCGGAGTAAGAAGTTAAAATGCAAGAGAATATGAGAAAAAGAAAACATTGTTGAGGAGAAAGAACAATAAAGGAACTGGAATTAAGAAAACAGAAGATAAAGATTAAGATTATATTTCAATTTTTGAAGAACGACTGGAAAGTCAAAAAGCCGGAAGAATATTCCACAAAGGAGATTTGCCCCCGTTCCATCTCTCAAGTTTACTTGGAAAATAATGAAACCTAATTGCCAATCAAGTACTGCGTTTAAATTCATGAAGTCGAGTTAGCAAAAGGGGAAAGCACATAAGAACAATTACCATGAAAATATAGGAAAGGCAGAAGGAAACTACGTCTCGGCGGTGGTAAAATAACTAAAGCCGAGATGCCAGGTCAGGACCGATAATCTTTCAGATTATTCTTTGGATTTTATAAAGAGTCTCTAAACATATCAGAAACAACAGACCAGATTTAGCAGCATTATTCAATGCATCGACGAATGGTAGACTTATAAATGTGTAAGATAGAATCTGGCGCGAAAAAATACTCTAGCACAAGACAGCTAACCAACTAATAAGGGAGAAAAGCTCAGTTCGAATCCAAGAAGACATCGTCCTCTAAGAAAAGTTAAGCATTTCAGAAAAAAAATCCTCTTAAATTGTTAATCACCAAAACTTATAATTTTTTCAATATAGATTTGCAGCTTAATACAGCCATTGGGAATTCCATCTTTGTTGAACTCGAAAACTAGATTTACGCACAGGACATACATTAAAAAACTATCTTAACAGCTTTTGTGGAAAGAACCCACTTAGATTACTGCCTTTTTCATTCAGATGACAAAGGTTACTTCAGTTTTGTAATCGACCCAAAATTTGAGCGTACGTGTACAGAAACATGCATTCACCCTCAAACTGAATTTGTACTCCCCTCCCACGGGTAGGCATGAACTCAAGTACGTGATAAATGGTCAACATGCGTCTGTCTTTTTCACTTTATACTTGTGACTCAGTTTCCACATCTACATTCCATATTTCCTTTCAGAACTAATATTGTATTATTTATTCTACTGTCACATTTTTTAAATAATTTATTGTAGTGTCACATTTTTTTTAAATAACTGTTCCTGTAAATCTTCATGAAGAAAAGAATTCTACTTCATCTTTTGATGAGAAATGACAATAAGAAGGGGGATTGATTGATTTATTTTACGGTTTACCAACCTTTTATAAGTTATTTAAAGCCGATATATAGAATTGAATTGTATAATAATAATTCAATTTTTGCGAGTGAACTTTGTGTTAACAATTTCAGAAATACCTATAAATTATAGAACAACGTTTTTTTTTTATGGATACAACTTTCATAAAAATAGATTGTTATAAACTGTTTCCTAAAAAATAGTTTGAAGGATATTTCCAACTATAAATCGTATAGAGAGACAGACACTATTTACATTAGTCGGACTATTGTCCTCATCTTTGTCGCCATATTTGTCACAACGTTTCGGCCGTTGTACGCTCAGGTGGTTGGAATTTCGAACTGAACCTTTTATTTCGATCACTGGGGTAGACTGTCCTAGTTCCACGTGCCATGTTATCTCCTGCTAATTTTTCCCTCTGAAAGTTCTCCACTGCCTTAACCTGGTATTGAACTCACCTTCTTTGGGACTGTCACTGGATCTAACCAACGCCTTGAGGACATCTGGGTATGAACTTCTGAGTATTATAAACCTAATATTTTCAGCATCATTTTTTACCAGAGTTCATATTGCAACTTTGTTATCACTGCTTATCTCTGGCACTCCTTATTACTGGTTCCCATATTGTATTTATTTCTATGCTTGGTCGGCTCAGGAGATTTTTGTGGCCTAGCATATGTGCTGATTCCTTAAGTTTACGAATTTTCCAATGGTGTTCCATGTCTATGATCTCAACATGATCCCACACGGAGCGGTGATCTCCCTTCTCTCTTCATATATGGTCAGCCACGCCTGATTTTTCTACTTCCTCTCGCGTTACAACGTTCTGGTGTTCTTGAAGCCTTACCTTGAGGGGGCGGCCGGTCTCTCCTTTATATTCCTTTCCGCAGCTGCATGGGATAGCACGGGAAAGACCGAGATTGTAAATATACAGACAGAAATCGTCAACACACAGACAGAGATTGTAAATATACAGCCTGAGATCTTAAACTTACAAACATAAATCGTAAACTTGTAATCTATTTTAGGAGTGAATCTCCTTGACGAACATCAAAATCTTATTTGCTTCCTTTGTGTTAAGTGCTCTGTAGTATTTGGCTCATGTTTTGTTGTAATTCGTTACAGATTTTCTCAATACATGTTCAATTTTGTATGCTCTCTGACATGGGATGCACAATGGTGGTTAAGATAAAAAGAGAGAAAGTGATTCTATAAATTCGTCGATCTACTCATAAGAGCATTTAGTCGATTCACATAAATTATCTTAAGTGTCTCTAAAGATTTTCGTATCCACGCCTTACACGTAGATATTTATGATAATTAAGTCTTCATGCCGCTTCCTAGATTCGAAACAGAAACTAGCTCAAAATTCAACGTTTTTCGGCCAATGATCATCTTGCCTTTGGAGACAGGATAACAGTCTCTTTGAAATCATGGCAAGCGATTTCAATTCTTCGTATAGGAAATATTCAAATATTTATCAAAATAAATCAGTCAACTTTTCAACTGTAATCGACGAAAAGAAAACTCATTGGAATTTTTATTTCGTATTACCAAATGGAAAATCAACACGATAAATATACATTGAGCAGAGAGGTTGGCCTGTTTTTGTTTTTTTTTTTTTTTGGGGGGGGGGTTGATAAAATAATGTATGAAGATCATTACCCTATCTCTCTTTCTCTCTCTCTCTCTCTCTTTCTCGTTCTCTCTACTCTTTCTATCTCTTTCCCCACTTCCCGTCTCTTGCTTACTCTCTTCATCTTTCTCTCATTCTCTCTCTCTCCCTCTCTCTCAATGCAAGTGTGAACTTTCGTTTCTATTTGATACAATGCTTACACTCCCCATCTGACTATTTCTCGCTTTCTTTCCCTTACTTTATCTCTTTCGCTCTCTCCTTCTCTGCACGCGTCTTACGCTCTCTTTCTCTCTCTCTCTCTCCCGTCTATTGGCTACATTCTTCATTTCTCCCTTTCTTTCTTTCTTTCTTTCTTTCTTTCTTTCTCTCTCTCATACGCACACACACACTCTTATCAATAAAAAGCAAATACAATGCAAGTGTGAACTTTCGTTTTTATTTGATACAATAAAGCATTAAGAGCCTTGCTCTCTCCCCCTCTCTAATTCTCTCTGTCTCTCGTCTCTTTCTTTTTCTTGCTTGCTCCATCTCTCTCTCTCTCTAATTCTCTTACTTTCTCTCTCCCTTATTCTCCTCTCTCTTTATTTATCTTAACTTTCTCTCCCTTAATCTCTCTATCTCTTTCTATTTCTCTTTCTTTCTTTCTCTGTCCCTTACTCTCTTCCCCTGTCTCATTCTCTCTCTTCTCTCTTTCTTTTTCTTGCTTACTTCATCTCTCTCTCTCTCCCTTACTCTCTCTCTCTCCCTCACTCTCTCTCTCTCTCTCTTTTTCTCGGTTCTATAAATATTGAAGAGCGACCAGAAGCCATTATCAATAAAAGCAAAATGTAAAGCAACTCTGAACTTTGCTTTTTATTTCCTGTCAGAGAACATTAAGACAATTTTACAAACAACTTGCACACGACGGTATTGTATAAAATAATTTCAAATATAAATCTAAAGTTCGAATTTTGCTGATAAGTACAGATGTCCTCCATGGCTGTTACTATTCGAGGTTCTTGCTTTCTTGGGATGAAACTGTTAAATTTTTATGCCCCACTTTTTGTGTAACAAAAGCTTTAATCATTTCTATGTCACACAAGCAAAGAAATTAACACATTTCACATTTGATTTCTTAGTTTTTTCCTTTTCATTTTCTTTCACACAAAACTTCGGCTAATGAAAACCAACCGAAATTAGTTGATTGAAACATAAGATCGATTTAATCAATCATGTCTGAAATGTTTATTCCCAGACAAAAATAGGGAAAACATTTGGAATATATTGAGGATTAATGATTTATTTAGAAACCAGTTCTGTTATGATTTTCAGTTTTCCTTTCGAATTATTAAAGATGGCTGAACAAAACCATCTTATGATTAGAATACTTTTAAATTAAAAGTAACTCCGACAAACATGCTCATTATTATTTGATCAACAAACATAATCCGTAGTTAATTTTGAATAGTGCTTATTTGCATCATTCTCAAAACAGTGACTTTCATTACCGATTTATAAAAAACTACAAGAAAAATAAGGAAATGCTCAAATCGAACACTTTTCTATTTTTATAACAAACCACAAAATCAGTTCTATTGTTTCATTTTGTTGTTGTTGTTGTTGTTGGGTTATTCGATGTCATCATCATCATCATCATCATCATCATTATTATTATTATTATTAATAATATGTTCAGGTGGTGTTGATGGTTCGCGGCTCAGAACGCGAAATCTGTGATTCGGGTTCGTTATATTCACTTTGTCGCAAATAGTCTTGGGTAAACTACGAATGCACTTCTTCTATGAGTTAAATATCAGCGCAACCTGGGCTCTCAAGCCGCGTGGCTAGCAGCAACCAGTCAAGGAGCTCCACACTGAATTCAAAACCCCGTATGTAGCCATGGCATAGAACATAATATGCAGCCATCGACAGGATAATGGAGGTCACCAATGACTCCCTAATCTCGGTTGCGGCCGACTTCTTGTCATTATTTTTATTATTCTTCTTATCATTATTTGAGTCAATAAACATTTGCTTGATGGATTTAAGTAAATACTTGTCGTTTATATTGACATTGACTTGGTAAATGGTTCCTCTAGAGAGAATGTAGTCGGCGTTCCCCACCGAGAGAGCATCAATCTAAAAAGGTTCATGCCTTCTGATTCATGACATTAACATGAATTCTGATTAGCATGATTTACATTTGTTGATTGAAAAGTGATGTCATGAAAAAAAAGTGAGTCGAGGCTTTCGCTCTTGGGTTGATTTAAACATTTACTCAAACACATAATTAAACATATAATTAAACACATAATTAAACATATAATTAAACATATAATTGCACATTAATCAATGCTTGAAAGTTATTAGATAGCTCTTTGATTAGAACAACACATGTTTGAAAAGAAAACCCGATCAACCATCAACCGAAGCTGACTGAATTCAGTGAACGAGGCGAGGGTGAGATTTGATATCATTAAAGGGAAAATGCAAATTTTAAAGGGAAAAATGAAAATTCAACTTACAAAATGGTGACAAAAAATAAGAATATTTCCGTAAATTAGAAAATTATTCAGTATTTGAATTTTAAATAATTGATGATGAGGCATGGAGAGATACTATTAATTAAAAAGCAATGAACTTGATATTTTTGTCTTTCTTATATAAGATCTTTTAGTATTTCAAGAAACAAATGAAACCCTCTTTTTTCTATTTTTCATACTATTTCTTATCACCCTTTTTTCTCTTTATCTTTATCACCCTTTTTTCTCTTAATATCCTCTTTTCTTTTCCTCTTTCTCTCTCACTCACTCTCTTTCTCTCTCACTCACTCTCTTTCTCTCTCACTCACTCTCTTTCTCTCTTGGATGTGTCACGTTTTCTCTATCGATTGTCATATATCTAACTTTTTTCTCATTTTTTCATTTTCTTCTTCTCTTTCTTTCTCTCTCTCTCTCTCTCTCTCTCTCTTCTCCAACTGCTTATTTCTCTCTCTCTCTCCCTCTGTATCTCTCTCCCTTTCTCTCTCACTCTCCTCTTTCTGTTTCCCCTGTCAAAAAAGCTAAACTTATCTAGTATTCATTTTCATAATGTTAATAGAACTCTCAATCAAAATCAAAGATTTGTTTAGTCATTCATTTCCAAACAACTGCAATCGTCAGACCATCGACGGCGCCTGACGATTGCGTTAGGCATGAAATGATGTCTTCGGCTGTCGAATTCAATGTCCACTTTTATATTTACATACGTTCTATCCTTGATATTCAGCACTTTAACCACTAAATGTAACATGCCATAAAACTATATTTTAACACACACACACACACACACACATATATATATATATATATATATATATATATATATATATATATATATATATATAGGCTCCCTTTTGTGGGTTGAGCACTTTTGGAAGAAAGGGAATCTGTCGGTTGCTACTGCTGATTAACGCTAAGCTCTTCGCTATGAATTGAGTCCTCTGTTAGTCGGTAGTGCATAAATCTTATATATCGCATATATCGTATATAATGGGTTAAAAATCCCCTTTATTCTTAGCGTGCGCTCATGGAATAGGGGTTTGAGTCTTCGACTGATGTCGAATCGGGTTTCAATTTTGGCTTGAAGCAATCGCATGTCTAAATGATGAGCTGTGATACAGCAAAACAGTCCGTCTGTGGATGACTATATATATATATATAAGTCACTTTACTGCAATTACACCTCAAATTACCTGATCGGTGACTCTTCATTCTCCTTTTGATGGACCTTCTTTCATTTCAGAAGGTTGCTAAAAACCCACCTTGCTTCCTTTGAAAAAGATTTAGAAATCATGTTTAATTATTATATATATATATATATATATATATATATATATATATATATATATATATATATATATATATATAAAAGAAAGAGGTTGTAGTGGTTCCAACGAGAGAAAAGTATGTATATTAAATTACGACAATTCAATTGTTTTATGACCCTTCGCGCAGAACTCTTCATTGCCAATTCAAAAAAGAATTCCGGATTACTAACACAAAAACAGAGAATGTCTCATATCGAGAATATTTAACATTGAATATAAGGAAAAAATTAATTATTTTTAATAATATGTGGAAATCTCCGCTTTTACCTGAAGACGGTCGCGAGACCAGAAACACATGTCGTGAAATTATGGAAAACAAAGCATAATATTTTTTTCTAAATAAATCCACATTACAACCAAAAACGTTTGCGGCACCTCTCTTCTCTTCTTTTTAATATATATATATATATATATATATATAGTAGACACTGACGTCAACACCAAGCGGAATAGTCCTGCTAGGACGCAATCTCCATGGCGTGAAAACGGTGTTCAAGCATGAAACAGACTACGTTCGGTGTTGACCGTAATGTCCACTTTTATATTTACATACGCTCTATCTTTGATATCGAGCACTTTTAACCATAAATATAGTATACCTTTAAATTATATATATATATATATATATATATATATATATATATGAAGTGAGTGAAAAGTTTTCGCCCAAACCTACTTTTGTACCCTTTTCGATATATATATATATATATATATATATATATATATATATATATATATATATATATAGAGAGAGAGAGAGAGAGAGATGAGAGAGAGAGAGCAGAGGAGGGATATAGAGATACAGACAGCCAGAGATCGAGAACTTAAGCCAGACAAATAGATAATTATGTGATTATTCATTGTATTCATCGATGTCTCTTGTTAATGATGTTGGCGTTGAAGAAAAAAGAATTGTAAACCTGGGGAAAAGATTGTTGGCTTATCTGACTTCTGCCTAGACCTGAATTTTGAATACCTATCAATGATGATAAAGCCTAACTACTTCAACCTTCAAGTAGGGCCTCTTCTTCTAGATATATGCTTGCCCTCCCAGGCTTTCATAAACGCTTATAGGCGAGTGAAAAGACACGGAGATTTTTTAGATCAATCAATCGATTCATCGATAAATACTTATATCGCGCGTTCGATTTCCATTTGTCTTTCCTTTTTCAAGTCATTCTCTCCTGCTATAAATAGGAAATCGATAAAAAAAACGACGAATGTTGATTTCCTTACAAAATTCGATCTTTGTAGATTGAGGCAAAATATGCCATTCGCTCTCCCCCCCCTCTTTCTCTCCTCTCTCTCTCGCTTTCTTCCGTTTACTCTCTTTCCCACTGCCTACTCTCTTTTTCTTTCTCTTTTCCTCTCTCTCTCTCTCTCTCTTTCGCTTTCTTACTCTCTATTTCTTATTCCCCTCTCTATCTTTCTCTCGCGTACTCTCACTTTCTCTCATTCTCTTTCTATTTCTTATTCTCTCTTTCTGTCTTCTCTCTCTCTCTCTCTCTCTCTCTACTTTACTCTATACTCCCCTCTCTTTCGCAATCTACACATCTCTTACTCTCTTTCTCTCTGTCCTTTTATCTATCTTCCCCTCTCATTGTTTCTCTTTCTCCCCCTCTCCTTTTCTGCACTCTTCTTATTCCCTTTCTTTCGTTCGCTTACTCTCTCTTCTCTCTTTATTTTACTTACTTCATCTCCCACTGTATCTCTTTATCTATCTCCATCTACCTCTTACACTCCTTCTCTCTGTCACTCTCTGTCACTCTCTTTCTCTCGCCATTCTCTCTTTTTTAATGCGAACACTTTCTCTCTCTGCACCCTTTTACTCTCTTTCTTCATCCTCTCACTATCTTTCCCACGCTAACTCCCTCACTCTCTCTCTCTCTCTCTCTGTCTCTCTCTCTCTCGTGCGCGCTCTCTCTCTAACTTTAGGGAAAATCACTGAGGAGTTCAAATCCCAGCTTAGTCTGTTTCCACCGGATTCGCACAAATGCCTTTGGGAAACCAGCTTATTGTTGTATCAAATTTCAGGTCTCGTCATTGGGATGCCACAAAAAGAAAGTACTAGAATTAATTCTTCAAAAGACAACTTTCCCATTTTCTTCAATTTTGACAAAGGATTGAGATAAATAGTTTTAGTCACGCTAAGATTTAATCCTTTTTAATCCACCGCTAAGATTTAATCCTTTTTAATCCACCGCTAAGATTTAATCATTTTCCTTATTTTTAACTGTGTTCTCTTTTTGTCAAAACATGACAAAGAAATTGAAGTTGGTCACTAATTTTATGGGACCAAAAACAAGTGACACAAACAAATTTTTTCCAATTTAAAGCAGTGTCAATAAGATTCCTAATCGATTGTTCGAAACATTCATAGAATTATACTTTCTACTTTTTTGCGACTTATGCGTCAAAAACATTTAGTAATTAAATTCATATTCTAAGCTAAAGTGGTATTTCATCTGACGTCTTCTTTATATGAAAAAGAATGATGAACCAACCAGACACAGTTTTAAACAAAGGAAGACTTCAACTCATTTTGATTTCTGTCAAACTTGAAGAATATAATTTGTAACAATGCCGGCGAACTCCCAAGATCAAATGATCCAGAAGATCGATAATGTCTAAACAGCCAAGAGATGTTTTCATTCTAAATTCCTTTTACGCTCCTCCTCCATCAATGGCCGATTAAAAGAATAATAATAATAATAATAATAATAAAGTTTTTTTCTTTTCCCAAAGTTATATTTTACAAGGTACTACGACTTTATCTTAAATACTAAAATGGATCTTATTTTCCGAGAATCATATTTTTAGCAAACACCAAAAAGATAAACACATCATCTCATGACTTGGATACAAAAACCTTTAACCAAAGCCAGTCAACATCACTTCGCAATAACACGTGATCTCCGATTAAATATTTTAATTTATCACTGATGTCTAATCAGTTTTTGCTTTGTTATAGATCCGATGAAGAACGCAGACGCTGGGGGGTGCATAAAGTAGAATTGGCGTCCAGTGTTCAAATTCCGACTAAGATCTTTGTTTTCGCTTTCGCACAAATAACCTTCGTAAAAAGGATGAATTCCTTTCTTCTCCCTCCACCTATGGGTTAAATAGCAGGACGGGCTCTTGCTTCGGTTGGCAATCGCTCTAAGAGAACAACTCTGAATTCAAATCTTATTATACATCAGTCGACATCGTTAAAACCTGCTTATAACAGAAAGTGTGGTGAGGTTGTGGTCCTATACTCTACAGTAAAGTCTAATATCACTGAGGAGGAGGAAGAGGAGGGGGAGGAGGAGATATGGTTCTAGAACAAATTTCTATTCTTCATCTGCTTGTCACTTAGAATTCATTTCCAAGGTTAATTTACGTCTGACAAATATGGTGACTCAATTAATAACATTAAAATAAACTAATTTTGCGCAAAGAACGTAGTCAACAATGTGGGTGCCTTTGAAAAGCCATTAGCTTAAGTTCTCACGCAACCGACTTCGATTTCACCTTTTCCGTTTCTAATTTTGAGATTTATCGCCTAAAATAATTTGCCCGTCGACTACAACAACAACGAAAATAGTAGTAATCATAAAAGGAAAGTGCACTTTGTGACATTTCTCAACTAGTGCTAAGAGGTCGCTGCTCAGGATTTTGAATATTAACCTTCAAAACAAACACGAAGGCTTCCATTGTCTAAAATTAGTTTTTCTCGAAGAAGTTAAGCAGATACCAATACAAGCGATCACGAGTAAAATAGCCAAAACAGGTGGTATAGCCATTGTTTTTGACGTATTGAAAGTATTCAACAATATTAAGAAGCTTTTGGTCGCAATTAGGGAAATGAATGGGGAAGAAATTAGTCCATTTGACAGACAAGAGTAGACATAACTGGGTAGGAAAAGTTAATCGATAGGGAATTTAATTGAAATACAACGTATCAGAATCTCGTCGTTTCAAACAAAGACAAGAAACGCTTATTTACACCTGAAGGAATAATATCATCGACAAACGAGAGCTTCACTCCCGTCGACTATCGCGTCCCATAGAACAATGTTCATATTGCGTGCCTACAGGATTGAAGCGTTTATTCGTTTATTTTGGTAGGCCGTGTAGTATAGACTGGGGCTCAGGAAAAACAGGCCGATCAATAACGGAGCAATACTAAACAAAAAAAAAAAGAACGACTTATCTCCCCTAGACAAGCAGATGACATAAAAAAGAGACACGCAGATGACGTTTAAAAAAAATAAAGAAATAGAATCTTTTCTACTTCTATCTCACAACAAATGTCCTGGTTAATGAGAAGTTTGTATGTAACGATGATGACGAAGAAATAGAAAATATCAAGATCTGAGAGTTAAACAAATTTTATCCATAATAATTTGATCATAAGAATTAATAAAGTATTAAATATCATAGTATTGGTGGTTTCAATAATTTTAGGAGCACTCTAATTTAATATTACAGGAAAATTTTGCCAATTTTACTGAAGATGGCGAAGAATAAAGGACAAAAGCGAAAAATTGACAAGATGTGTTCTGATCGTCTTCAGGAGACGGTGGGGGCGCCTGGTGAGGGTCACATGAGGTATGAGGTTGCTGGACAATTATCCTTGCACTTAGTATTCCAGACATCTAGTGATTTACTAAGCCTAGCTTAGATATGACACAAGACCGAAAGTAAGAGGCACCCAGTGAGGATCGGACTCACTACTCGGTCATAATTGATGGAGAGAGACAAGCTTGCTAACCATGATACCACGTCGAAGTGCCCCCGTATTTCATAACATCTCATAGCAGAGATGTGGAATGCGAGTGCCCGTGTGTGTATTTGCGTGTGTATTCGTGAATTACGCTGAAATTTAAAAGACTTGACCAACAAGCGTTCATCAAAGACTTTTGCGTGATTCTTATCAATAATCTTGATAAGAATCTCATGTTCATTATTGACTCGTCGCTGAAGAATGCAAAACAAATCCTCAAGATGATATCGACTCTTCGAATAAAGCTGTAAAACCTTTTAGTGCTAACAAATATTCTTTTTTTTTTTTTACAAGAACTCTTTAAGGAATTCTAATGCAAAGTCTTTGGCTTCTTTGCCATTGAATAAATAATGTTATTGTATTAACACTAAAGAATTCAATCTGTGTCTATACGCAGGCAACTAAAAATAAAACTTCCGTAATTGAAACAACTGAGATTTATTTTAATGAACCGTGTACACACACATTCCATACACTTTAGGTAAATTGCCAGCCTTGATAAGTGCTTAGCAGGTCATTAAAAGCTTTTTGATTGGAATCATAAATTGGTTTCTCCCTACTCTTCAAAGTTAAACAGAAACTCAGAAATCGGGATAATTCGACCGTTACCATAGAAACCAAGCAGCTGGATTGAATTGACTTTGTTCGAGTCATCTTTTATTTCCTTGAAGACACCGCGCTGCTTTGACATTCACCGGGTCACTGGGGGAGGGCAAAAATCTGCGCAGTCTCATGCCTTTAGTGGAGTCGCTTTTAATTATCGAATCAATTCTTCGGTCTTCTGTTAAGAAACTTGGTTCACTGTGCTGTGCTAAACAATTTTTATCACCTGAATCTCTCTTCCACCTTTATAAGTCTACGATTCGTTCGTGCATAGAATATTGTCTGTTGCTTTTGCTGTGTGTCTAGATATTCTGACAAAAGTTAAAGAAGATTCTGCAATGTTATTGGTCCTCACCTGACATCTCAGCTAGAGTCAGTTTCCCATCGCCGTAACGTAACTTCTGAAAATATTTTCAGGGCAATTATTCTGATGAGCATTCCTTCTTAGTACATCGACTTCATAAATTTAAGCGTTTTACTAGATTGGCAGTTATGTCTCATCATTTTACTGAAAGGGCTAAATAGAACCGCTAGTCGAATTTTAATAGTTTTCACTTTTGCGCTTCTCGCTTATAGAATTCTCTTCTGGCTACTTTCTTTTTGTAAACTACAAAACTTTCTTTTTGTAAACTTCAAAATTTTAAATGCAGCGCATGGCGTTGTTTACTTAAGGACAAATCATGGTGAAGCTAAAGCCCAGAATTGGCGGCTTATCTCAAATCTCGTTGCCTCATTGAGAGCGAAGATTTTTAGTTTTGCCTTAGATTGCTGTTGTAGTTGGTTTAAGATTTTTTTTTCTTTTTATATTCGGAATAATTTTAGATTATTTAATTGAAATAAGTGTAAGAATTATTTATTTTATTTTCTTTGGACTTGCTAGATTATTTTATGCTTTCATTGCAAACACAAACACGGTATATCTAATATAATTATTCATGCCCTTTAAGGAACTGCGTTCCCGATCAAACCAAACTCACGGATAATTATATTGGACATACCACTACATGCCTATCGAGAAGACTCACCTTACACCTCTCTGACCAGAGCTCAATTAGGATCCATTTAAACACACAAGGATAGTGACCAAATTGCATCTGCAACATACTTGTAAAAAATACAAGCTTAATAGCCTGATCTACATGTAAAAAATACGATTGAAAGTAATGTAAGAACTAATAATAAAAAAAGAAAGGCCAACACTCAATAACATCAACTATGAACACGACCACAATGTGCTGACTGTGTTTAGAAAATAAAACATTCTCATAATTGTAGATATATGCATTTAAAAAATTCATAAATTTAGTTAAAAATAAAAAATTATCCTCGATATTGGGTAAAAAAAAGAATAGCCAAAAGCGTTTGGATAGACAGAACATTGAGAGTATTTTTCCATACTTTATGTCTAGGAAAAAATTATACGAACACAAGAAAGATTTAGTACCTTTAGTACCTTGTCAGTTGTTCGTCTTTATTTAAACTTGTGCAAAATAAGG